GACTTTTCTCTTTTCATTTCATTCCAGGCGCTGTAGCCACTGTGTTTAAGGACCGGCGATGGGGGGTGGGAGTCCTGCAAGCCCTTGACGAAGCGCCTTGTTGCGGGCGGCCGCGACCCCCGAGGCCCTGTGGACTAGGCCAGAAAGCTCTGTGGTCTTGGGTGGCAGCGTCCGCGTTGGGCTTGGCACCGTTTAACGGGCAAAGTCCTGCCCCCCCAACTGACATGTTATCCAGCGCGGAAGTGCGGCGGCGGGGGGGGGGTAGAGGGGTCAGAAGCTATGGAAGGCACTGGTCCCTGCAGCCGCTGGAAAGTGAGTCAAAAGCCTTCTGCGGAGCCGGGGGGAAGACGGGGGCAATTAGGCCGAAAGCTCTCCTCGTCGTCGTCGTATGTCTTGTTCACTCCTTTTAAAAGTGCATTTCGTTCCCCCAGCCAGGTGAAGGGGTACACAGGGAGGAGGCTGGCAGTACCCACTGAAGAGGAGGGATTCGGGCATTCTGCAAAGGCGGGTCCCGGTAGACCGAGTGGGAAAGGAGGATTTCGAAAGGGAAACTTTCCTGGCCAGTCCGGACCAGGAGCCCTAAAAGGGCTAGATCTGTTGCAGGGAAACAGAAGCCTGTTCCGGAGTAAGAGAGTCAAGCGGATTGGGGGGCGATGTTGCTGAGGCAGGGTCTCAAAACAGCGCTGCCTTTCGGGAAGGAAACTTGGATTTGTTTTGGAGGAATTCATCGCCCTATTCATAGGCAAAGTTAGAGGAGTAACTCTGCATCTTAGCAGCGACATTAGCTACAAGTAAGTTGCCCGTTTACTTCCAGGAAGTCAAGGGATTAATTCTGGAGTAAGGGCCAGTGTCGCCAGTTATTCCTGGAGAATCCAGCCTCAGTCACCCGGAGTGATCCTGAGCCGATGTGCTGTAGACTGAAGTCACTGGGTCGCTTGGCTCTTACATATACTGCATTGCAGAGGGCGGCGGAAAGCAATCCCCGCCGCAAAGTTTAAGCATCTTTATTTGAGAACGATTAAATCAACAAAAATTACTTCTAAGTAGCACACTTGGAACTGGGGTGCAAGGCTGCTCAGGTCAATCAGCTAAAATTCAGACACTTGCTTCTGAGTTCCTTTGGAGAGGTGTCTGGATCTTGCGAAAACTTTCACGAGGAGTCTTTGGGAGCGATCCGTGTCCCCCTGAATTCCGAGAGGGAAATCCCCATTTATGTCTGTGGCTCTGCGCTGTACATCTAATGCGAACACAGAGATAATTGGGGGATTCCAGCTACAATAGGTGTCCCCTATTTCCATAGAAGAGTTTGCTTCACAAGGAATGTTGCCTTCATAATGCACAGCCGAGGAGGAACACGGGGAAACGGCAATTTTCCATTCCAAAATAAAGGCCAGAGAAAACTGAAGTAAGGAGAGTTTGAAGGGCTTCCAGACCTGCTTCATTCTTGGGAGAATAAATAGGACACCCACCCCCCAAACACACACACCTGTAATTATATATATACACACACACACACACACCAGTGCTCTATAAAGTAAATTAGATACATTCTATCCTGAGTTCTGGGGGCAAGAAGCAATTTAGAGTACAACTACATGGATTCGACTAATCAGGGAATGCACGGAGATTCCTGATGTGTCCTTGAAAAAACTCTTTTTCAAAAAGTAGAAACATCTAAAATGCCAGGGGAGAAATCATATTCCTAATGATTCTACCTTTTTTCGCTTTTGCAAGGAATTATGGTTATTAAATAATGTTGGACATGATACTAACTTCTAAACTACTTTGAATGTTCGAATTATTTTTTTTAGTAAATTAGATTTTATATAGCTGGTAAAAGAACAAAAGAAGTAACGGTATATATAGAGCTCTATCTAGGCACTGACGTTATGTATTCTGATATCTATCAGTGTGTTGAATTGTTTGCAAGACGTTTCCAAAAGTCGTTTAATTGTTTTCAAGATATTCCAAAAAGTTTAATATAATTCATAGTTCCTGCATGCAAGCGCGTATGTTTGTGCATCTATATATGTACATATGTAGTATTTGGCATGTCATTCTGCGTCTTCCGAAGTTATTTGGATATTGCTCTGTGTTCAGTGGAATTACCACGAAATTACCAATGAAAACACATTTGGAAGGAGAGGGGGGGGGAAACCTCTGAATTTACGCACAGTGCAATCCAATGCAAAATTACTCCAGTTGGTTTAGTGTGCAGTAACTTTGGATAGAATTACATTGCCGGCAACTCAAATGTTTCAAATAATTAAATGAACAGATCTTTTCTTTTTCTTTTCTTTTTAAAAAGAGTGATGCTCAAACCAAGGCAAATAAAGAAGCTTTCTCTCCCTCTTCTCCGCACTGCTTTTTAAAAAGCGATCTTTGAATCTTCAAAAAAGACGACCAGAAGGGTCCAGCGGGTACATGTGCAACTCTCCAAAGTTTGCGTCTTCGCTGGGAGGGCGTAAAGTCTCCATGCAAACTCTCACAAAAATTAACCGGCGATTCCCAGTCCCGTTGGGTCCCAGAGGGAACGAAGTCCCACGGAAACGAAGGGGAGCTGCCTCGCCACCGACTTGCTCGGGGCCCAGGGCGATTCTTTCCCACGGGCTGCAACGCCAGCGATCTCCCGGCCCGGGCACTGAAGCTGGCAGCCTGTTGGGTTTTAAAAAAAAATTTTTTTTAGCAGAGATAAAATAGCTTAGCAGTGCCAGAGTAAAATAATTCAGACTCAGAGTCCAACCTCCCAATCCGACACGGCGGCTTTACTCGGAACTAGGTCCCGTTGGTGCCAGGGGAGGCGGCTGGCGGTGGCCCGTCGCCCGGAGAGTCGGTGACAAAACCGAGGGCCTGGTTGCTGCAATTAGACTGGCGTGGCCGCGCTCACCTCTCGCCGAGCGGTGCGGTATAATCAAGGCGCGGGCTTCTGCTTGAAGGATGTTAACTCTCGGGCGGGCACCTACTTTCTCCAGAGCGCTTTCTTGCCTACTCAGTGAGAGGCTCCCAATTGAAGCAAAATGATCCTTATGCGCTAATATTGAGCCGGTGACAAAGCGACTGGCCATTTACGCCGCCACTTTAGACAAAGATATTTAGTTATTCCCGGGTAGGGAGGGCACTTTTGCATTTCTCTCTCTCTCTCTCTCTAAAACAGCACAAACCAACCGAGACGCCAACATATTTACCAGGGGCAATTACCGAACGGTTATGCGAGGCTGTAAAATCACCAGGTTAACTGCCCCTTGGCGGCCCTTTCCTTCGGATTCAAAGAATCGATTTATTAAATTAGGCGCCTCCACACACTCTAGGCCTGGGTGGGGAAGGGTTCGGGTCCCCCCTCCCCACGTATTTCCTTTCTCCCGCCCACTCCTTTCCTCGACCAACCTAGTCTTTATTTCCTGCAGATTCCGTACAGCTTGCATATTGTCAAGAAATTGCCAAATTGTTCCATCCCCAAACCCGCTAAGCCGAGGTTTTGGGGAGTCGACCAATTAAGAAGGAGCAGTCCACCTCCATTAAAATCAGTGGGAAAATCGCCACCGACTTCAAAGGGCGTGGATCGTCTTTCTCCAGGCCTCTTTCTCCCCCCCCCCTTTTCCTAGGTCTTGCTCCTTAACCAGCTTGCGGATCGGGCCTGGTCTTCAGCCTTAGTCACATGGGCATCTCGGCGCTCTCGATTTCTCTTGACACCGAGGTGGCCGCAATTAGGCTGAGCGGAATATTAGGAAATGAAAGACACAATTCTCCACTGGCGGGGTGATGACCTAGCCGTTCTTTTCCATCCCTGGCGTCTCTGATTCATAAATAACCCGAGAAGCTGCCTTTAAGCTCGAGACGTGGCCCGGAGGAGCGTGTAACACGGTTCCTATTGGAAAATCACAAACGGGCTCTTAGCTTTAATGTGTTTTCCAGCAGCCCATCATCCTTATACAATTGCTTTGCACATTTCTCTCTCGCAAAGTTCCGGCTTCCATCTGCCTGGCAAAGTAACGAGCGAGGCAAAACGAGCCGATGATTGCCTGTGTGGAGAGAACATATATTTGGGGAAGCGCGGGCGGAGGATGCATTGGGAGGCTCGGACAGATAAGCTTCCTATAGGCTCGGTAGCTTATGCCGCCTAAGCAGCGCCTGATAAGGCACAAGTGCTTTGCTCTAGACACCCTCCGCACTTCTCTCAAGGATCCCGCCAATGTCTGGTCAGAGACCGCATTTCTGCCAACTTGGCTATGTATGAACGCTCCATCCGGCACCGAGACTGTTCTTTTCTGCCTGTAGCGTTTCCTAGGAGGGAGGGGGGCTCAATCCAGCGCTTCAGACCTTCCCGGCTCAGACTGAGGTAGGAGGGCCGGTGGGGAGGAAGTGTGTGTGTGTGTGTGTGTGTGTGGTGGGGGGGGGGGGGGACAGCGACAATATTCA